ATAAGGATAATTTCACCAACTCTTGTAGTTATCACCGTAGAAGTTAGGGTTTGTCTTTATTTAAAGAAATTTCATTAAAATACATGTTGATGTTTAAAAAAACGACAAATTTTGTCATTTGAAGGGAACATAGGTTAGCTCTGCATATTTCCACAGAATATTGATTTTCTAAAACGTTATACATTATCTTAACGAAGCATGAGTTTAATTTGAAAAATAAAAATCTTTAAAATCACGCCTTTATCTCGATACTATTCACATTGTCAAAAAGTTGAAAAGTTGATTGTAAGTCAATCCACTTTTTCATTAAATTACTATTCTTAACTATTTAACTATTAATTTAAAATTAATTTATTAAAAACATTTAAGATATGCCTAGATGCAGTATTAATTGTTAATTAGTTTTCTTACATCAGTCTACTAAAAACGGGTTATAAAAAGTACGTTACTGGTGTGAAACAAGAAGTTCCTTGATTAATTGATATTAACGTTTTAAAAAGAAGCCAAGTGGTACATGCTAATAAGTGACATTCTGGACGTGCAGGGAGCTTGCATATGCAAACTTGAAAGTAAAAGGAGTGCCAGCCTTTCATTAAGAATTCTCAACTTCCATTTGTGGTTTGCAGTACTCTCTATTGAGGACAGACTACATATAAGTTATGTCACAGTGATCTAACAAAACGTCGGAGAAGTCGTGTTTTCTCGTCACCGTCCATGTATCCTTTGCACAGGGGTTCACGTCGCTCAGCTGGCACGTTGCCGAGAGTCTAGATCATTAACGCCAGATGCCAGGTGATAAAACTTGCTGTCTAGCGCCGGGAATCAGAATAGAAAAATATTAGCATGGATTTAATGATGGTTTCATTTATGCATGAACAGATTTTCCATCTGCCGCATGTCACTTGAAATCAAATTTATAGCCTCGCGCCCAAATGGGTACGCATCCACTCACACCCGCGTCACCGATCCCCGGACCACGACATCCATCGTCCTCGTTCACGTACGCGTTCGCGATTTAATCCGCGACTCGTCACGGGAAGGTTCTTTTCGGTGTCAGGGAAGACAAGGCGACGCGACGTCCCCGAAATAAAAAAAAAACGTGTGCAACTCCCCCGCATCACTCTGCGCTTCCCGGAACCGCCGAGAAAAACTCGGAATCCTGGGAAGAAAAACGTTCCCTCCACGTTACATCACGAGCGTCTGGCCGCAAAACAACGTTCGCGTTGTGTTAAAATCCGCCGCCAGACGGAGGACTTCCGCTTCGTGTCACGGCGCTCTCCAGCAACTCACGGCCGAGCGCTGCGCGTCGTCACCCATCGTCCTCGCCGCCGCGGCCACTGCCGCCTCCGTCCGCGCCCCCACACCGCCCACGGAGGCGCCACAAGTTGACAAAAACGTGGCCAAAATACCAAGAGACTTTGACATTACTTCCATTTATCAGTCCCTGGATAAGTGACTTAGAGGCTGCTGATTACTAGTCGGATGTTAAATTACGAAAAAGCGAATCTAATATTCCAACAGAAAGTGTAACATACTAACAAATGAGGAAGTGCTGAGTATTAATTATCGTGACTATTATAACGCCGAATATTGTAGGATAAAAATAAACATAATAAGCTTGTCCCAAACATTGTGCACAGTTCCTTGTCTTCTTTCATGCCCTCAAAATCATGTAATCATGAAAACAATTGATTCAAATAATTAAATCTTCAAAAATAATCTCAAAACCATGAAATTGCAGTTCGCAGTTAAATGTAGTTATTTTTAAAATATTGTTAAGCGAAAGGATGATACCAACCTTTCGGAATTAAAAAAATCTATAACTTTTAAGATAATTGACAAATATTTCATGTTATATTTAATGTGATTTTGTGAAGTGATGAAAACAGGCAGTACGTAGATTAGTAATGATATTTACACAAGTGATGTACCAAGAATTCCTCTGCCAACACTAGAGGCTGAACTTCTCTAAATTGTTTTTGAGGTTTTGACCATGTTTTCGACCTTGAGGTACACCGTGCTCCTGTCCTGCGCCGCCGCGCCGCCTTGGTCAGCTGCTCCGCGCCTCGACACCCCGCGCACGGAGTCGCGGAGACGTCGTCGTGTTCGAGATTCGACCGGCAGAGACCGCCAGCTTTTTAGCGACAGTCAGCTTCCAACGAGCTCCACGCTTTTTCGCAACGTTCGTTACGATGAAGCGCGCGTTTTGCTGAACGTCGTGTTCAGCGCGACAGGCGGATGAATTCGTAACTACGCCCACCGCGGCCTCGCGGCCAATAAATGAATAACGACGAGGTTTTTGTCGAGCAGTCGATGTCACGGTCCATCTGTCGAGGCAAAGACGCGTCGTGGGTGATGGAGGATGGAGTGAACGATTAGCGCGTTGCTTTGCAAACAAGTAGGAAAGTGAGGCTTAGATTGATGAATTCGGGTTGCACGGTCAGAGGCATTTGGAGCGATAAATTACAGTTCCCCTTATTAGTATACAATGAAATTCTGTAATATAAAATATGTTACTTTGAGCTTATTACAATTTCAAGAAAACAGAAACAAAATATATGTCAGTTCATAGGAGAGACAAATAAAATTGCACTTTTCAACGATCTATTTATGAAACATTAATAGATGTGATACCAAATAAACAAATTGGTCGTGATGTTTTATTACAAGAATAAGTATTCATTTTGTGAAATCTAAAATACCATGTACAAGAAATATCAGAAACGCCAACACACGAAAAATGAATATTTTAAGAGATAAAGTTAAGTATGACTTTAATAACAAGCAAAACAGGACGTTTGAACATTCTCGATAAAAGCCGATATGTTTGTCGATAATATTGCACTTCGTAATTACAAGGTCAGAGAAAATTACACATATTACCACGCACACTGTTCTCATATCACTCGATCAATCAATCATACAGATACTTCAACAATCAAAACACACAACAAATACGTTACATTACATTCGATAAGTATCGCAGCGATAAATACCGCGTGAATGAGCCGCCCCGCCGGCGTAGACTGGCCGGCGGCGGCGGCTGCGGTGCGGAGAACGGCACCGGCTGCACGGCTCAGGGCGACGCCGCGGGGCGCAGGCGGGGCTCGAGCGGCGCCCTCGGGGGCGAGTGGCGCAACGGCGGCGGCGGCGGCGGCGGAGGGGAAGATTAATGGAGCGCGCGCGGCTATCGCAAAGGTCATCGGCGAGCGCGGGAACGCGGTGCCGAGCCGCGCCGCGAGGAGCGAACAGGTGGCGGAGACGACAGGCGAGCGGGGAACCCCCGCCGCAGCGGGGGTGGAGTGGCTAGTGGAGGTCGTTTTCGTCGATATTCCGATTTTATTGTCACACTTCCTTTCATAAAAAAAACAAAAACTATTAACTCATCTGAAGTGAACTCGCGTCTTTGTTTGTTTTCCTAAGTAAACGTCTCCCGTTGCGATGGCTAGCTTTTATCAAAACACGTTGCTCTAAATCTTCAATCGTTACAGTGATGATGGGATGCGAGATTTCTTCTGCGTTTAGAACGGGATCGTAGCGTACGTTAGACGACGAGGAGAGTGAAAAGCTGTGGTGGAAGGTCCCACGAAGGAGGTTGAGATTCCAGTTAGTGCAGCGGGAGGGCAATGGTGAGGGTGGACGTGCAGGTGAAGAGACGGCGGCGGCGCAGCCAAAGGTGCACGCGCGCGCGGCAGCGACTGCGATGAGCAGCGCCGGAGATGCAATCGCCAAAGAGACGGCGCGGCGCCGCGGAAACGCCCTTACGTGCCTCCCACGCCGTAACGGCCGCTACTGCCACTTCCACCTCGCCTCGAGCAGTTACCTCCACCACCACAGCCACCACCTCCGCCACAACCACCACAGCCACAACCACCACCATCACAGCCACAACTATCTCCACTACAACTACCACTACCACCACAGTCACAACTACCTCCAAAACTATCACCACAGCCACAACCATCTCCACCACCACAACCACCACTACCACCACCACAACCACTACCACCATCACCACAACTACCACTACCACCACTACAACTGGCAGCGCGACCAACATCTCCACCAACACTACCTTCACCATCAACTCTACATCCCTACTCTATCTCCTCCGTGGCCGCGCGTGCTCCATTTGCAAGCGCGTGTTTGTATCCGGTGCTTTCACCTCCGCCTTCTCTCTCCACATTTATTTGATTTTCCTTTGTCTAGGTGCTCAGTCTGCACTTTCGAATGATCCTCGTATTTTTTTGCAAATGTTATTAACATCAACATCACTTTGTTAATGTTATCGTCGTGAAGTTCCATTCAAGAAACCTAGATATCTCATGTATTTTCCTAATCATACTTTTTCAAACATTATTTCATCCTTTACTAAACAAGCATCTTTTTCAATTAGATACAGCACTGAAAGAATGGCCGTCACCTTTAAAATTGTGATCTCCGTTGCCACCGCTTTCATATAGTTTTCTATGATCCATTCCCTAATGTCTTTTTATGCAGACACTGTTCTATATTTCAAAATATTCCTTTTGCTTTTAATGAACTTTATATTTTAAAATAGGAAAATAAATGAAGTTATGAAATCTCTTTCATTCTCCACAAATATTTTACATCTTAAACATAGTTTTTCGGCTTAAAACGTGAAAATAATACGTACTTTTCTTCGCAGTTCCCAAAAAATTATGAAACGTTGTAAAAAGGATTTAATGTATAAAAAAAATTCAATGTAAATAATTATATGACTCAATAAGTCAAGGTGATGATACGATCTTCTATAATTTTTGCTATAAATTAAGAGACGTAGCTTTCTTTAACTGAGCATTCTATTGACTACATTCGTATTACCTGCACGTACACAAACCAGTATGAATTATTCAGTTAATAGCTGCGTTCGTTTTGCTTCAACAAATATTCTGGAAGCAGCGTAAAGGTTACGGCACCGCACATGTAATTCAAAGTTTAAACTAATAGAGAAACTAAAAAGGCACGTGTTTCAACTCATGAAAGAAGCAAAGCACGTTGTAACGTAAGAATTTGCCGATGGCTTCGTGCCAGAACTAATAACTCTCTTAATTACGACGCAAAATAATTTGTTATCGAACATTAATAAAAGCGCCGCAGTTGCATGAAAACGTAATCTCAAAATACTGTAGAAAACCTCAACACTTTGAATATTTTTAAAGAGTCTTAAAATTGTTTTCTACACGTCAAATCACCGCACTCCATTTGCAGAGAATCGACAGGACGAACGTTTTTTGATAGAAGTGTATTATTCTTTGAATGTTTTATTTACTGTCGTAAAACGATATAAAAACAATTGATCTCCCAAGGACGCCATACAAGAACACTTTAATGAAGAAATTATATTTTACTGTTCTACAAAATGCATCTACTTGGTTTTCCGATTCTTTGAAGAGTATGGTTTCACAATCTCATTGTTCGAGGCAAATCAATGTTCTAACTAATCCTCTCTCTTAGTTTGCGTTATGTAAACATTTCCGCAGGCACAAGTTGGTATTTATTTTTCTCTGTGTAATGGCGAGGAGTTAGGGAACGGGGCGAATCTGTTGGAACCGACATTTCAATAGGGGAGAGTTGACAGGAAAAGAGGGGTGAATAAGTAATGAGATCAGATGGCTGGAGGGAATTAGCGTCACAACTACAGGACAAAGGAGCTTGTGACTATATCTACAACAATAAATGTTCGAGTAACATAATGATTTTGAGGGTTCTGATCAGCATTCTTCGCGACCTGTTTGTGACCCACGAACACAAGTGGTGCTATTACGCCTTGCTCCCTTCAAAAGACGGGTGGAGGGGGTATGATGCAATTGTCGACATCACTTTCGTGTTGAGTGGTGGAATAGAAGTAACACGAATGCATTTTCTTTCATGTGTACTGTGTATGTACAATTACATGCGTAGAAACGTTTAGAATAAGCCAAAACATTAATCTCACAGAAAAGGATAAATGACCTAGAATTTATATTATCTCTTTTCTATGCGTAAAATGCTTTTTTCTTCGAATTAGATTCTCAAAACCATTAGTTTCTCATGGATATATTGTTAATATATTCGAACTAAAGAAGAAAGAAATTATAAATTTCTTCTTCTTTTTAGTTTTGAAAAATTATGTAAAAGAATTGTCCATAATATTGAATATTCCCCCACTTTTCATTGTTTCTCTGCTAAGCATATTACGTTTTCGCCAAGCGCCAATAATATCATACGGAAATTATTTTCCTGATAGAGGATATAGTATGGACAAACATACTCAAAAAGCACTGAACGAGTAATAAACAAAAAGATCTGAAATGGGTGACTGGTGAAACTATTACATCGTGTTAAGTGATAGCTCTGGGAAGAAACATTTAGTTTTAGTACACCACTGAGATAAAACCATTAGAGACGTCTTCTTCAAGACACCTTCACCATAATTCAGTACCTCTTCTAAATTCAAAAAAATTGTAATTGTTTTGATTATTGTTAGCCCGAATTCTACGCAGAAGTTTGCCATGAAGGCAAGGATAAGTTTTACATTGTCATTGCTTCGCATTTCAGTTGCAATTTCCGTGCCTGCGCGTCCCGAGCGAACCTTGACCGCCGTGTCGTGTGCTTGCAGGGGCATCGCGAAAGCGGGTGAGCCCAACAACCTGCTGCCGCTGGCGCCGGGGGAGCTGTACATGGACCCCGCGGTGCACGCGACGCTGCGCCGCAAGCAGCGCCGCCTGGTGCGCGACCACCCGGGCGTGCTGCTGGCCGTGGTGAAGGGCGCCAACCAGGCCATCGGCGAGTGCCAGTTCCAGTTCCGCAACCGCCGCTGGAACTGCTCCACCAAAAACTTCTTCCGCGGGAAGAACCTCTTCGGCAAGATCGTCGACCGAGGTGAGTCACTTCGCCCGGTCGCGTGCTTCCTTGCGCCGTGCGATGGCAAATAGGGAAGGAAGTTTTTGTTTTAGCGATTTCTCTTGCACAAGTTTTATTTCCAGGTTCCTTCAAGTGTTTCGGCGAGTTTTTGAAATGTGTAGTTCTGTTGAGAATGCGTTCACGAGTAATGTCAGTTTATATTTTTATAGATTTAATTCGTAAAATTATACGTTATAAATGATAGATTAAATCAATAATTACTCAAATTATAAAATACTTATTTACATCTACGAAGTTTATCCAACAAACGTTGATATTTTAATAATGACCTCAAACTGACCAAGATTAACTAGCTGTTACGAGTAGATACTATATTTCCTCTGAAAAATCAACAAAGTTGTGAAATCGGGATTTGGCCGTGATGAAGAAAGATTTCCCCAGAACGTGACACACAACAATAATTTATTCAACGGTATACTACATTTCCATATCCTTAGAAAACATCACTCTCTTAGAGGGCGTACTGCCCCCGAATGTTTTCAGTGTGAGTCACATTCTCTTGTTCATCGAGTGTGCTACCAGCACCAGACATTCAAAACTAATGTGAAACACGTCCATTGAATGCACGTTCGATTAATAACAGCTTTCGTTTCGAGCAGCGTTACGTATTACTGCCATAATACAGTTTAATAGACGCAAGTAAATCCGGCCGTTTTTTTAACGGCGACAATTGACATGAGGGAGCCGCGGCGAGACGCGGACTAATGCGTTTATGAGTGGAATATTCCTCCGCGCTGCAGCGCAGAGCGCGCCTCATTTATCTGCTTTACGCTTACCCCACTTTATCGCGGGCGTGGCCGCCTCGCGCGCGGGCGGAATCAAAAGCGACAAACCGCGTCAAGCGCCCGGGGCAGGCGCGCGTTAACCCCGGCCTTGGACGTTCAAGCGATGAACTGTGCGCAAGGAAACTGCGATTCAAGCGCCGAGCGCGCACGGCGCAAATGCGATTCCACTGACGATTATGAAATGCGAACAACTACACGCGGTTTTCGTCTACACAGTCCTGAGCAAATTACCTATGTCGCATGTAAGTGGGTACGGGATACGGCACTTTGATGTACGTTTCTAGGAAGAGCGAATGTTATTAAAAAAATCGAAAGTTAAGCACAAACGTTTCAGACTGAGTATAGTTAATGAACTTTAATTCCATTGGAAATTTTATTATTTACAGTAATTTACTGCTATGAATTTCTAAAATGTTACAATGAACAATATGGTTCTCCGAATGAAAAATAATATCTTCGAAAGTTAACGAGAAGAGTCATTAATTACACTAAATGCGATTGCCGCTTTTAAAACTGTTCACAAGACGTTTTCGGTTAGGATCCGTATTGGAAGGGGGTAATACGCTGGTGAGTCAGAGGTAAGTTGACAGTTAGACTTTTTCGTCAAGTCATAAGAAAGGCTATATTATATATATAACGATTATTTGTATTAGAAATACAAAAGTAAATCTAAAATAACTAGGACAATATCAGCTTTTATTAATTTCTTCTTCTTTTATTAATTTTGATAAATACACATTTTATTGTCAAATGAAAGACGTCGAATTTATATAAACGGCTGCTTTAGTTAACGCGGGGACTGATCCGCCTTTAGAGGCCTGTCCTAGGGTTAATGAGGGAATCCCGGCGGCGGCGGCGGCGGCGGCGGCGGCGGCGCCGAGCGCTGCGGTGGGCGGGGCGGTGCCCGAAAGGGTCCGTCGCCGCCGCCGGCGCCGGCGCCAGGCGTCCCGGGCGCGGACGAGTGGCGTCTTCCGGCGGGCGGCCGCTTCCGGTGCGGCGCAGGGCGCTCTCACGCGACCATCTCTACCACTTGCTCTTCCTCGCGCAGGAAGCTGCGTTTTCTCTGGAGAAAGCGGATCGCACTCCGCGCGGTTTTTGTTGTTGTTGTTATCGTTGTTTATTTCGGGCGCTTGTGAACCACGTAATATAGTTCCGTTAAATAAGAACAGACCCAAATGTGTCATGCCCTTATGGTAGGTACACCTGAACATTGGAGAAATGAAACTGCTTCTGGAACAGTCTGCATGATGACTACTAGATTGTCATGGAGATTATAATAATAAGCCAAATAATCTGATGTATATATTCAATGTTAAACGAAGAGGAATTCTTGCTTTGTATCGAGTTCATGCTTCAAGCATTGCGTTCGTTTACCAGGAATTTTTGTTACTAGTGTTTACGCGTGAGTGGTTCCTGTATCAGAACTTCCAAATATTGATAATCTATTCCTATCAATTAACATAATTCAATGGTGTGTGGTGTAAACAAACTAAAATAATATATTTAATCGAAAAACACTGAGAATGTTTCCGTTACACAAAAGCCACTTCGTAGCCCCATAGTCGTGATAGCTCAAATATCATTATTAAATTGCTTCTTTACTTGCCCATTAGTTTAGAATTTATTCAAGCATTCAAAAACAAGCGAAACATTTCAGGCACATCAGTGGAATTTCTTGACAATTTTTTCTTCGGTGCATGGGCTGTGCATTTTTTATCTCTTCCCAGTATAACATCACATTATTATAGCCTAAGATTTAAAAAAATGTCTTCTAGTTGGAAGCTGACATCCAGAGAATTTTTTTTCTGGTCTTCTCCACACGCTGTTGTCCTCTCGCGCCCTCCACAAAGATCCCCGGGGGGCGAAAAGGTCTGCAACTCTTAAAAGGCTCTTCGCGTCAGTTCTTCAAGTGGAAAAGGCTCACCGCTCGAGTGGCTCTCATTCACTAAGAGCTCAGCACCTACCACTCTCTCAGGCGAGCATATGGTTCCAATCTCGAGCTTTTTTGAGAACACTTCCACCTGTTGAAGTGTTTCTGTTACGGAGGAAATGTATCTCATCCTATACCTGACACTTTTCGCCGTTAAGATATATCCAAATGAACTTAATAATTATGGGATCATTTTCTTTTAGGGACATTAGAATTAACTATTTTGTTACTCATATTTTTTATTTATGGGAACATTACTGTACCCAAAGACTGTTTCAATTTTTCAGAGAGATTCTTTCTTAATTTTTTTCAGATAGGAATAATTTTAGTTTTTACTCTTTATATAGATACTTCACGTTTAGAGCGCAATAACACGATCCATATTGCAAACGTAGTTATTTAATAGATAAATCTGTTGTCGATTATTGCATATGGACGGTCATAAGATGTGCCCCAAAAAATATATAATGCAAATATTTCTCTTCGTATCTTTTAAAAATTCAAGTACTCCTTGTGAAACAGTCAGATATATCAGTTTACATGACTTATCTAATTGGGTATGTCTTTCTCGAAGATTTTTGAACGTCTAGGAACCGAGAAGTCATGAACGATAAGAAATGTCTTGCTCTATTCATTCCGAAAGCAGAGACGATGTCAAAAAAATATTTTCATCCGCAGTAATAAACATGTACACATTTAGACATGTCTTTCTTCAAAGCAGGAATAACATACAATTTCATAAAACATTTCGAAAATGAGAACAAAATTGAAAGTCAACATGTCCATTACTTTTTATTCTTTGGCGTTACAAGACTTGAAAGATTTTGACTTGACATTTACCTACACACTGAACTAAGAGTTCTGAACACGAATTCGTATATAGGGGAACAGGCTCGGACCTAGAGATGGGAGTTGGCACAGAACGGAGAAATGATAATTTTGCACGGTCGTTAATCTAGTGTAAATTATATTTCTGCTTCATTCGCCTTGTTGGAAGACATGAAAACGACTGATCACAGCAGCCGGCCTCTTTCAAATTTTAATCCAAGTAGGGGGAGGTCCCAACCCATCTATTTACTTAGTGTTGTAAATCCTGCCACCCTCGGGCTTCGAACTTAAGAATCTTCACATCAACGTAATTTCATATGTGAACCCGCATCTATATTCGCAAGTGCTTCCAGTAATTTATATATCTAACGAACGCTAGCTAAAATTCCCATCAAGCCACTACGCTCCTCTCCTACCCGCGCATTGCAGTCGCCTACGCAGACGGGTCGGCGGCGGAGATCCTCACACGTCTCGCGCCTCTCCGGGAAGACACAGGGGGCGTGCCCGCCTTCAGTTATCGTGCTATTTGTTCAGCGATACCTAAAGCCAAGTCTGCAGATAAGAGAGACGCCGCGCCGCGTTCCAGAGCGGTGACGTTTCCATCGCCCGCCCGCCCGCCCGCCGCCCGCCCACGCGCCCGCAACCGCCGCTGCACTCCTACTCTCCCACACGCCGCGGCCGCCCGGCGACAAACGGAGAACGGAGAAAACAAACCACACAGAGTAAACAAATCGCCCGATGTTTGTCTTGTGCCAAAACGAACGGCTATGGGGCGGCAGACTGAAAAGAGTCTAAAGAGTAAAAAGTTAATAAGATCTTTTCGGTTTAAAGCAGATTTTTATGATCCTTCGCACGAGTATACAATGTATTAAATCGTTACAACTTTTCATGTACATGCTTAAAAAATTTCTTTCGACGCGATGAGATTGTAAAAGTAATCGATTTGACATAAGTAATTATTATATATATATATTTAAGATATATAATATATTATATATAAATATAGATTATATTATATGCATTGAGACGAAGAAATAATTGTCCATTTAAATATGTTGAAGCCATCATTACTTATTAGCTTATAGTAGAATTGTATTGGCAAGGCTGACGTAGCCATTACTCTTCGATCAATGAAGTCATTGGACGCAGCGCAACCTAGCGTGAGTTCAGTTGTATTTATCTTTACACAACTGACGTATTTAGCCTCTTTTTGGGAAAACTCACTTTCCGCCTGAAAACGTCCCTTGTGGCGGATAAACCGGGATCTCAAGAATCACTAGACTGGGCCCACGAGTCTAAAAGGCTTCTCCCACTTCCCAACCCCATTTCACGTCCAAGAGCCCCTCTGAGCATTCTACGGACGTTTTCGGCCGCACTTCGCCACTGCATCGTTACGCAACGCCTCTGCAACCTTCACACAGCGCCCTCCCATCGTTCTGCGCCCGTCGTTCTCGCCACCTCAACATTTGTCACCGCTGTTGCGTTCGCGGCCGGCCATTGTTCGTAGTGGTGCGACATGCGGCATCTTCCGTCGTTTGCTCCATTCACAGACGCTACTCCACTTCCCTGGCTTCTTTTCATCGCTTTGGCTCTCTCCATTTTTCCACATATGTTCCTTGTCTTAGGTCCCTCGACCACCAAACGAAGCTGGAAAGAAAAGTTGTTTGTGACTTCAGAGTTGGATTAGTTGGGTGAATCAGTCAAACTTGGAATGCATTTTAGCCTTCATTCACATGGCGAAAAAGGGATTGAGCATCATAAAAACGACACAGTTTCATAATGTGTATCAATATAAACATTGTGGGAATTGTAGGTTGTGTAATTTTTTTATAAGTAATTTTTTTCGATCATTAAAAGCAATAATCCTTGCTATAAATTTGTTATGTTTATTTTGAAAATCGATTATTTTTTCCCCTTTATCTCTACTGAGCAAAATTGATTATCAACCATTACACTATTACAGGAAATAATTTGTATTCTTTATTACATATTATTATTATTAAACAAGTTTATTGTAGTTTTGCCTACACTTTAGACATAAACTGCACTGATACAGAAAAAATTATGTCTTTAAAGAGAAAAAAAATAAAGTTTCTATCAGACAGGTTTGTTATGATTGTCTTTCTTACAAGTATGTAACTTTGTGACTCAACCAAATTTTAGTCGTCTTTCGAAAACTTACATCATGTCGAATCTTCTTCCAAACTAAACGAAATTTACGATACATCAAAAAATAGTGAATATGTGTTTAACACCTAATTGCGTCATTTATTATACATTTTATATACTATTAGGTACAAGTCGTAGATGTTTCCAAGACCATGAGGTTTTGCACGTTGCAGGTGTGGCCAAAACCAACCACCAGCCATCCCTTCCTCGTATCCATGTTATCGTTGAGCCTAGCCCCCACAACCCCGGCGTGCCCGCTCGTGGGGTCCACTCCGCACAAAGGGCCGCACCCGCGTGGACGTCGTCTGCCATATGCGCTGGGCGCCGCGGGGGGGGGGGCGAGGGGCATCGGCGCACGGGGTACTTCGGGCCCCCGGGTGGCTAATGGAGAAAAACGGCGAGTCGCTAATCCGGTCATTGTCCGGTCGGCCGCGCCCGCCCCTTATGGTAAATGCGGCCGCCCCCTCAAGCCCGTCGTCGCGGCGCCCTTTCATGACGCCCACGTGCCCGGAAGTAAGCCGCCCCCGCGACGCGTCGCGGCGCGGCCGTCGCCGCCACCGCCGTTCCACCGTTCTCCACCGCCTGCCACCAACCACCGTGAACAGGCCGCCACTGTCGCCTCCACCGCCCAACTGCTACCGCCGCCGCCAGCCGCCACCTCCGCCACCGCTGCTGCCACCTCCGTCGCTGACATGGCCCTGCTGCACTGTTGCCGCCGCCACCTCCGCCGTCGTTCGTCGTCACGGCCCTCACCGCCCGGCCTGTTTCCGCCCGCCGCTGCCACCACCCCCTCACCGTCATCGCCACCGGTGCGCCTCCGCCGTTGCGACGCCGGACGCCGCTGATTAGGTGTCCTCCTCGGCGACTCAATCCGAGAGGCAAGCCCCGCGCCCCGCCCCTGCCCGCCCACCCCTTCAAAAACACAACGCGCCGCGCACGCCCGCCGGAGAACAGGCGTAGGAGGAAAACAGGCTCGAAGGGGCGTTGACGCGCGACGCCGGCTTCGTCGTGGGGTGAGACAGGGTGATAGAGAGGGGTGGACCCAGGCGCGCACGGGCGTTTTGTCCCTCGAGAATCCCGGGGGTGCAGGAATAAAGGGGTTGCGTTGCCACACGCGCGTGGATTTCAGAGGCTCGCGAGATATCCCCGGGCGCTCAAAGAGACTAACAAAGACACAAACCGCCGCGTCGCGCCGGCGGTGTTTCGTTACGGGAAGCAAGTGGCGCGGGGAGTCGGGAGTGCGCGGGGTGCGCGCGGCCGCGGCGCGGATGGGGCGCGGGCGGGGGCGGCAGAACAGCCGGTGTAAGGGGACGCGGCATTGTTCGCAGCTCGTCGGCTTATCCGGTGCAGCGATCGCACAAGAGGCGGCGTCGTGTTTTGCGTGCGTGCGCGCGTAGCGGGCCGTCTGTGCGTTTGAAACGTGCGTGATACACTCGGAGGATCCTTGTGTGGAAGCCACCAGCCTGTGATGCAGAAGGCTTTCTAGGAAATGGGTCTTTAATGTCAGATGCTGAGTATGAATGAGTAGCATTCGTTTTATTTAAAGGGAACTGATGAAAAGATAAAATGTGAATATGAATGCGTTCTCCTAAACTAATGTACATTGGTACAGACAAAATTGTTGTTGAACAGGTGGATTGAAACATGCAAAATTGTTGAAGTATTTCAATTTTTGAAAATATTATTAATTTGTTTTGTATTTCAAAATTGAATTAAATGATGTAGTCAATTATAAGAAAATTAAATTGTCATGTAAGGCATAGATATTTTATTTAAATAGTTTACATCCGTCCTTTAATTTCTTTAGTCTTCTATTTTTCCTACTACCTCGTTCATTTATGTGTGGAAATTTTCATTGAGAAATTTATCATTCACAAATAAAAATTATTTTTCAGATTTTTTTATTCACGAAGTCCAACTCTGACTTGAGAGGAAAAAAGCGGATGACAAATTAAAAAAAACTTATTTGTAGTTTTCAACTTAATCACATAAATGAAACTGAGTCATTGTTGAGTAATAAGACTAAGAGTGGGGTATGTTTCGATATGTCGCGTATTCCCACTTGTTTTTTTACGCATTCACTTAAACATATTCTATAATTCATTATTTCACGCTTATACTCGTACATATACAACACAATTATCACTAGCACTGTGCTTACTACATTCTCTAAATATATTATCCGGATACACACCACGGTGCCAACGTTACTCAAAGTGTATATTGAGAGCATTGCGATAATTTCAAAACTTGTAACTTCCTTCTGGAAAAGGGGCTCCTGCACTCCGTCCAAAATCGCTTTATTGCCCGGAATCCTAGTTCGTGCGGAGGAAGCGGTCGGTTGCCTGACTCACAGCAGGCCCTCTCGCGCCCTTCCGAGGGTTGCATTGTGCGCAGGGCCGGGCAGGGCCGGGCCGGGCTAGGCGGGGTGATCACGGCCTTTCCGCGAAGGCTGTGACGTGTTTACTACCACGTGCGTCAGGGCGCACAGGAGCTGCGGTTTACGGCTCCCCGCTGCGGGTCGCGACGACAGACTGCGGTTGGCTTGCCCCACGTACGCACTGTGCATTCTAGTCTGTGAATTGTGGTTTATCAAGTGACGTCACTCAAATTCCTGGTTGAAATATTTGTTGTTGTTTACAATGTCCGCGGAACGTGATGATTCTATTTCTCTTCGTGTAAAAGTTGATCTAAAACATGCGTTCTGTGTCACTGACGGCTAAGACGTTAGAAAGGTATGACATTTCTTTCAATCCGTCAAGAATCTTGGGGACGGTTAAAAAAATATCTATGTAGGTCTCAACCGATGGAGTCTTTACGCGATATTTGTTCACTTGGAATTACAAGGACTAATTTCGTTACCATGGATTAATGTTGCAATATTTCACAATCGTGTTCTAGTGACAGTTTTATTATCAGAAAACATGCCATTAAATACTTTTCATAAAACTATATGGTAACAAAAATTAACACTTTCATATTCACTAATTATTTGTCTCAGAATATCTTCGGAGCAAGATTATGAGAATGCAGCAATACATTGCTCGTTAATGAATAACAATATAAATATTATTTAAAAAATATTTTCACTATGGTGTACTGCAAGTTTAAATGGAAGGGTTTAAAGAAAAGTGACATTTCACAAAGATGCACTTCAGCGTTCTACATGATTTGCTACTTAAGGAATACTGTTTAATTTTAAATTCGAGATCATTAATACTTAATCTATCAAAGGATGTGCGTAAGGGAATGGATCGTATGTCAAGTCTTACGAAAATGAGAGAAATTCCTGTTTCTTTGGGAGCTAAAGTAGAAGCTTTGTATGCGCGATGGAACTGGCGGCGTTGCCTTCGCCATCTTGCTCCCCGGCCGCCCCTAATCGGATTAGCAGGTAGGAAGTGGCCTTCGTCGACTTCGGAGGGGCCTGGTAACTGATACAACGCCGATACTGGAGGCCTGGTTCGGCCCAGTAGGGTTCGGGGACCTGGATCGAATGGGTGGCAGTAGGCCTCTAACCTTTCATGTTGCATTTTATCACACTGTCTGCGCCATCCATATTCATAACCTCATCAAAGAATGTTTAACGGTGAGTGGACTTGTGAACAAAGTAAAAGCCGATTAAGACAAAAAACGTATCGCGATCCAGCTGCTTGCCTCAAGACCCAAAGATATAGAGCATGATATGATACAAAGGATCAGGGTAGAATATATTTCAAGGAGTTTTCTTACCTTTGATTTTTTCTCCTGCATGCGGCTGACTCTTATCGCACGTCACAGGATATCCCTTTTTTGTTTCGCTTTGTGAAAAGTTAATATCGTTTGTGATGTAAGCAATAGGCAAATTATCTAACAAAACATAATGCTGGTAAATTTAATATCTCAGTCGTATTAATTTTAAGTATAATATAATTTATTTTACAAAGTAATGCATTTGTTACGAATGAATCAGTGTTGTTTTTAATGATACTACGCATAAAAGAAAGCATATTTAAATAAGTCGAAGACTCCTGAATCTGCTTTAACCTCTGATACATATAGTTTCGTGATAGAACATACAAGAAAATTCAATTTTGTAAAAAAACTCAAATATTTAAATAAAAAAGTTCATTGAAAACAATTTGAAATTGACAGAGCATTATTAATGTTCAATCCAAGTAACACAATATGCGATGCAGCCTAGTTAGTACAAAATGAACAATAACATACCATTTTTACGAGCTCGTGTTAGGTACCGAGCAAACGAAAAAAAGAGTGGCAGAATGATTGGTACATTAGAACGCTTTACTTCATTCCAAATACAGAGCAGTGTGCTTAATCTCAATACATAGCGAATACTTTTCGCATCGAGAGTCGAGTATCAAAACGTCGGAATTGCAATGAGAGGAAATAAAACCGTCAGCGCTGCGAGCGGGAAATGTTATTGCAGGAACGCGGCCATAAAGTCACAGACGCCTCAGCAAGAAATGCCCGCGCCCGCGTCCGCCACTGCGCATGCGCCACGGAGCCCCTGCGACCGCGCCGCGGGA